TATGTCTGTAATGCCAGTTATGCCACTGATTTGCCTCAACTAAAAGCACTGATAATATTGCCATTGCTTTCAGTTTAGTAATTGTCTCGTTTGTGTGCATCTCTACCTTTGACTAGTTCTCCCTTTCGCTCTCTCCTACCCTACCCCGATGCCCCCCCCTCCAGAAATTACTGCCAGTAAATGAATGTTGATCCCCAATCTCCATGTCCTACGTTTCGTTAGCTCTACTCATGTTTCCTCTCGTTTTAAATCTATTGATTAATTGCCCAAAAATTTTGCTCTGACTTTAAAATTATTGTAAATTACTTGTAGTTTTCAATTTGTGTCAGAAATGAGTGCACACTATAATGACTACATCTCTGGCCTCCCTTCCCCTTATCTCTGCCATAGTATTGCAGTTGATGTCTGCTTATCAGTGAATGTGATTGTGTGAGACATTAGACATATTAGACTTTATTGTCTAATCTCGTGCTATCTTTGCAGGTGAATCACAGACCCATTAATCGCATACACATTACTCTTCGCTCATGTCTTTCCATTCATTTCTCCCTCTTTTGTCTCACAAATCAATACAAATGAATGAGGATTTTATGACAAAAACCGAGTTTTATTGAAAGCGACATCTTTTTAAACGGCATATCAATTGAAAGGCATTTCTTGGGCTTAACTGCCGACTCGGCTATCGATTTATTTGCGCTGAAAATTTGAATTTAATGTTTAGGTCAACGAATGAGTTGGTGTTAAGTCTATCATAAGTCAAAATGATTGATGAATGGCTTGTCTTTTGGTTTGTCTGATAATATCAGTTAATGCCTATACATTTGCACTCAAACTGTTTAACTAAACTATTATATAACTCACACTTTCTTATCGTATGATTTCAAGATCTCTCTCTCTCTCTCTCTCTCTCTCTCTCTCGAAATTTCGTGTAGAAAAGTGCGTTAAATATCAAAATGCAATCATTAAATCCAAACCGCGTTTAGAAAATTAAATACAGTCTTAATAGTGGAGTACATTAAATATTGTAATATTAAATACATTATCGCGTTATTATGTATTCCAATGACTTATCCCGAAAACCCCCTCTCATTGGAGTCACGCGAGAAATTGTGAAAAAGTATTTTTCGTTTCAATTAACTATATGTCTGAACACATTTTGAATAAGTTTTCTATTTTTCAATTTAATTCATTTGACATTTTTCAAGTGATAATTAAAATGTTTGAATAGCTTTTTTGTAAGACTTCAATGAATTTGATTTCGATTTTTTTTGTTATAAATAATAAAAAAGTGAAAGAAAAGAAAAACTCGTTAAAAGAGTTTTTGTCTGAAAATAACAAACTTTTGCTTTCGTTATACAAAAGTGATAAAAGCGTTTTCGAGTATATATTTTTCATCTCATCCTATCATCTCTCTCTCTCTCTCTCTCTCTCTTTCTCTCTTTCTCTCTCCAGTCTCTCTCCACTCCTATTATATATCAATTGTTGTCTTAATTTTCACGTTTGCAATGTTTACGATAAAAGTATTGAATTGTGTTGAATGAATGAATCGTTGAATTTCATTCCCAAGTCTTATATAAAAAAATAGTAAAAATAACACAAAAATAGAGTTTTCATTGCAAAGCGTAAGACATTAAAAACGAAATTCTTAGTTTTCACTACACTTTGGCAGCATTTTTCATATTATTTGTCGGGAAAAAATAGTGCGAATTGAGTAAACCATAAGACAAGTGTTGAACAGAAAAAATATTTTCATTTCATTAATCATGATTTGTGTGATTGTATTACTGCTGTATGCGCTAAATATTAAGTCTTTTCTCTTAACCATTGACTCTCGACTTAATAGTTTGTGTCTTGAATTGCAATTTACAGGCTGTGGTCGAGACGAGTATCAGTGCCTTCGAGTTCTCCGACATCGCCATCGAGGAAGGAAGTGCTGTCAACGCAGACATGTATTTCGTGGACCTAAACAACAAAAACTATTTATACGTAATGACCACCAGAAGAGTGACATTAGTGAAGGTACAGGAGTGTCAGGTGTACCGGACGTGCAGCGAATGTCTGGGCGCTCGGGACCCGTACTGCGGCTGGTGTTCACTGGAGAACAAGTGCTCCTTAAGGAGTGATTGTGCGGAGGCGGCTCAGGACCCACTGTATTGGCTGTCGTACAAGTCGGGGAAGTGCACGACCATCACTCACGTCCATCCGCCGCAAATACAGCGCACTACTGCCCGCACCGTAAGCCCAATATCGCAGTCATTTATTTTCCCAGACATTCCCCTTCCCATTGTCTCTTAATTCTTTGTCTCTCATTTCAAATGGTCTGCACTTTTGTGTTTGATATCTATTTTTTATTCGTCTCTTAATTCATATTAATAGCTAAGTCTGGTGATCGATAACCTGCCGGTGTTGGACGCCACCTTCTTCTGCGCCTTTACAGCTGCCGCCAAGACTCAGATCACTAATGCCTCGCGTTCTGCCAATGGTGTCAGTTGTCCGACACCGCCAACAGACTCATTACCGCCAATATCTCCCGGACAGCGTATGTATACTCCACTCACTCTCTCCCTCCCTCTCTCCCTCTCTCTCTCTCACTATTAGACCATTATTTCTCTTCGGAGACTCATAAACACTCCGTATATGCCTTTCCATTAGTCTATGAGACTGTTAGGCACTGTTAGTCTCTCTATTAAAGCCCTCTCTTTTTTATTAGTTTCACAATAAAAATACTTTTTTCACTCAATTTTGTGTATAGTTTTTTGTATAGTTTTTTGTTAGAAACCAATTGTTTTACGAGAAACGTATTTTTTCGGTGAACATTATGTTTACTGTTTTATTGTCTATTAAACGGATGTAAATCTTAATTATATTTGACATTCATTTTCACTTTTATTCGCATATTTAATAATTTGTTTTAATATATATTTTGTTATTAAATCTCTTTTTCCTCTCCTTTATTGTTATTTTCTTTTGTTTTTTGCAATTCTTATGAGAATTTAATTACACTTTTTATTATAAAAAATTATTTTAACGCTAAATGTCTTTAGATTGAAAATATTTATGCTTTTAATGAATAGAAAGCCTTATATTAAGTGAAGGGATGAAATGCATTCAGACTTTAATACAAAACACACGAATGGCATCGCCTTCTCTGAGGAACAGGTGCTTTGCCTTAATTGCAAATTAAAATGATTTGCAACACAAATATGTGTTAACTATAAAAGACACAAAATAATACAAAAGAATAGAAATTATTTGTTATTTTCGTGCGATTGAGTGAAAAAATATTGTTTCATAAAAATTGTTATTCAAAACCAATGCTTTTGGCAATTCATGGATCGAAACACATAGAAAATAGAGGCATATATTGCAGTGTATTATAAAGGAATTTGCTTTTTATTTCATCTTTTCTTTTTCATCGCTAACTCTCACGAATGGCATCGAAAATATGCCTCAAAATTAAATTTCTTTATAATATTTGCCCGAAAAATGTTAACACAAAGGCCTGTGTGTGTTAGGCAACCAGTATCTGATGTGCCCTACCAGTGCTGTATGATGTTGGAGACCATCACTAGCTCTGTATTTGCATATCTCTTATGTTGAAAATTCAATGCATGCCTTCACTCGTCTCTCTCTCTCTCTCTCTGCCGCACACATACAGCACATCCCATCCCCTACTCATTAGTATTCAGGTTTAAGCGTCAAAATTGAAATTAAGGGATTGTGTGGACTAACATTATCAGTGGTTCCCAACCATTACCGTTAGTAAGTGACCAGAAATGTGACATTCAGTACGTGAGTGCCCGATGTCTGCCTTGTCTTTAATTATTAGAAATAATTTGTAATTTATTTTTCATGCTCTCATATATCATATGAATACTCATTAATATCATTATTGTTAGACTACCGCCCAATCCATAACTATTATCATCAATGATAATGTCAGATACCGGTGCTGTGCTGTTACGTCTCAGCCCTCCTCTCAATATTTAATGAAAATCCAGATACCATTCAGTCATTCATTCGTAGAGCCATTCATTCATTCATTTATTATATCTCCCATTCATTTATATCATTATATTTACAGATCATTTCACTGCAAAACTATCGGTGCGAATGAAGACGGGGCCCGACTTTGTCGCCACAAACTTCACGTTTTATGACTGCAGTTCATACCAGAGCTGTACGGCGTGTGTGTCGAGTCCCTTCCCGTGCGACTGGTGTGTGGGCGGACATCGATGTACTCACGACACCGGCGAGAACTGTCGCAACGATATCTTGGTGACCGGTATCTCGTCAGTGGGCCCCAGCATAAGGTCGGGTCCGGGCTTTTGTCCGCGCATTAACGCCACAGCCGGCGGAACCACTGAAGGTATGCTAAAGTGATTACGAGTGGCAGATCTTATCGCGCATCCGGCACTCGAGTGCACAACAAAAGTGCTCTTTTATTAATGGTATGAATGGTATTAATGGTATTGTATTGTCTGTTGTTATACGAAACTGTAGTACTGGTGCCGAGCGGTATATCCAAACGCATACAAGTCAAGGTCGATAACATTCCTCAGTTCATTGTGTCGACACGTTTTGTCTGTCAGTTCAACATCGAGGGCCGCGTCAAACAGGTTAACGCACAGCTCTTGGGCGACACCATCTATTGCGAAGGTCTTGAGTTCTCATACATCGGCAATCAGCCCAACATTAGCTCACTGTTCGCCGTCATATGGGACGGCAGTAAACCACTCGACAATCCCGAGAATATTCACGGTTTGTCTCAAGAAATTAACTCTTTTCACTTAATTATCAACTTATGTTTTGGACACTTTCCGCGCCTGTAGTGTTGATATACCGGTGTCAGGGAATGGCACCGAACTGTGGATTTTGTCTGGAATTGCAAGAGAAGTATTCGTGCGGCTGGTGTCAGGAGACGGACTCGTGTCAGGTTCAGGAGCAGTGCCGACACCACAACACAATGTGGCTCAACAGACAGCAGACCTGTCCCGACCCGAAGATTACCGACTTTTACCCGAAGTCCGGCCCCTGGGAGGGCGGCACTAATGTGACCATTGAAGGCATCAATTTGGGCCGTACTTTCGAGGACATCGCCACTGGGGTCGGCATTTCACACGAAGTCAATGGCAATACAATGCATGTCGTGAACTGCAGTCCCCATCGCGAAGATTACGTGAAGACCGCCAAAATCAAGTGTATTGTTCAGAGCCCTCGCAATATGACGAGTGGAATGCAGGCGCAGATGGGCTCCATTTCCGGCCCCATCATCGTTAAGGTGCTCAACGACTATACGGCCAAATCGAAAGAGTCGTACAGTTTCGTGAACCCAAAGATACTGACCATATCTCCGAGCAAAGGGCCCACATCTGGAGGCACCCGACTCTCCATCGAAGGCCTATATATGGACGCCGGCTCTAAAGCCGAGGCCTTCTTGGGTGGTCTGCCGT